AAATATTTTAAAAATATAATAAAAATATTTTAATTATATTAAAAACATATTTAGTAAAAATACAAGTTTCTGTAAAGTATCTGACACTTCAAGAACTATTATCCTTTTCTTATCTTTATAATCAATATATAACGATAAGCGAATGGTTATTTGTCCTTTCTGAGTATACTTGAATGCATTCGAATCTTAACAAAGAAAAAATATCTTAGACACCTATGCTGCAAAACATGCGTTAAATAAAAATAAATCAGAGATAATAATGATAGTTTAAAATTTGTACGTAAAGCCATCAACTCAAGTCGACTTAGTCAAGTCGAACTTTTAAGATCGACTGAGCTCACTATGAAACAATAATAAAAGCTAGACGATACTAAAGGCGTTTCAACGCATAGTACAATATATACATTTATTCTTTCTTTCAAAAGAGAAAGAAAGAAATTAATAGAAACCTCTTCCTTATTTTAATACATTACAAAAAAAGTATTGAGGTTTAAGATATGGTTAGGGAGAAGGATAAGTAGGATAATCACGAATATCTAAATCTAAACTAGGTGAGATTTCTAATAAATATGTCAAAGGAAGCCGCATATTTCTCTGGATGGATAGACTAATTTCCATTAATCGAGCAGCATTCCGCATTACAGCCTGACGTATCAGCCACATATTATGTACGAAGCGAAGAATAAAGACTTCATCATCAATTGTTTTATAAGGAATTCCCAAGTCAAAAACCTTGCGAACACGAAATAAAGGCAACGCTGGTTGATCCATTACACATATTTTTAAACGGGTGCCTAAAGAATAAAAGTAGAAATATGAATTGTACACGAATAATTTAATCAATAATATGGTGATGCGAAAATTTTTACCATATGATTGAAGTAACAATACTTCTACTTGGCAAAGTTGACTAAACAATTTTTCTCTATCTATTAAATTCTCAAAATTCTTATAAATCAGCTCAGTGAACATTTTAGATTTCGAGTCACGACCAAATCGAAACAATTTAAAAAGATCATCCCGGAATTTGGTTTGATCAGGCTTAAATGGATCTCCTGAGGTTTCTTCGTAAACAATTTCTTGAATCGTTTGGGAAATATTTTCAAGAAGCCAAAAATCAGGTTTCCTAGCATAAGAATCTTTACGAAAATATGAAGCCAAAGAACCTGCTTCACCCTAATGATAAAAAAACAGACACAAACAATTATAAAATTACTATAAGTAGAGAAGTTAAAACATTTAAATATTATTAGATCTAGTTAGTAACTATTTTTAATTTGGATTAATTGTTAACATCTCTATTATAAAAATAAAACAACCAATTCCAAAAGCAATTTGTGATTTTTTTTGTAATTTCCTTAAAGAGAGGATCTAGGACTTGATGATGCCATGTACCTTCCGAACATAAGAATTCATTCAGCGGAGTCTCCCAAAGTTCAAAGCTATTGGTTGCATATAAATGAAAAAAGAACTTGTTCAATAATTTTCTAAAATTCGAAACTATTGATAATTTAAAATCTACTAGAAAATACTACAGTTTGCGGCATGTGTTTCTGATGAACTTATAAAATGGTTGTTGACGCTCTTCAGGACCCATGATTCCAAAATCGTCCTCAACCCAGCGACGACGGTCTTCAAAAAAATTTCGAAAAATTGTCTCGAATTCTTGTGAAATGTCAGTACGATAATCATTAGGTGCTTCAATTATTTGTGATAATATTGATGATGGAAGAAGAGAACAGAATTCTTCACGTGGCTCCGTAAGTTCAATTATAAAGGACAGCAGTGGATGATCATAATCTAGTTTTTTTATTCGATCCCAAGTAATCATTTCAGCAAACGTTTGTCCGGGTTTGGGTCAAAATCCCGACAAGCGAAATCCCGACAGGTCAAAAAAATCCCGACATCCCGACAATTAAAAATTTTAATAAAAAAATATCATAAACCATAGCTAACCCAAGCATAACGCTCATCTAAAGTGACCTAACCCTAAAGTTAATTAAATTATAAGAGTCTACTTCATTTTAAACATATCCCATATTTGTGATTTCTACCCGATTGTCAAGATTTTTAATTGTCGGGATTTTTTTTGTCGGGATTATGACCTGTCGAGCATAGCGGGCATTGATTTGATTGGATGATCGAACGAAATGTTACACAATATGTAATTCATATTAGCGTAACGTTT